CCAGCTCTCTCCCCTGTCTGTGCTGTGACCTTAGTCCCCTACCCCTTCTCTCTTTCTCCCCAAAGCTCTCACCTGCTCAGTGAGTCCTTGAAGCCCACTGTAGTTTTACCTTTATCACTTAACATTTCCTCTTGTTGAAATGTCACCCCTTCCTGGAGCAATGCCATGAGGGATCCCTTGAAAAGGCGTCATCTTCATCCCTCCTGTGGCTCCTGGCCTGGATGAGGTGCCAACCTGAAGGTTTCTTACCTGAGAATGATGGGAATAGTACTAACACCCAGGACCTTCGGGACATGCAGTTATTTGTGTAGGAATCTGTAGTGAAAGAATGCTTATCACATGAGCAAATATAACATTGGCAATTAGACACATTTTACCACATTGGGTTGACACAGTCAAAATCCTAGAGGGTAAAACACCCGAGCACTGTCCCCAAGAGCCTTGGGAATGGAGCTGCCTATGGAGGAAGGTGCAGAGTGGCTGAGAACCAGCCTGTGGCCTCCAGGCCTCTGGGCTCTGATTGCCAGGTGACTGCCAGCCTCTCCGTGTGCCTTCCCTGCCGCTTTCTGCTGGCGTCCCTGCCCAACGCCTTTTGTTTCGCAGCCAGAAGTTGCGGGGAAAGCAATGTTATTTTTGCTTCCTGGTGCCGTGCAGAAGGGCAGCCGGCATAAACAGAGGGCATACTGGCAGCTGAATTTATCACCTCTGCTCACAGTTTCCTGAAGAGACCTCTCAACCCCAAGCTCCCCCTGGCGCTTCCATTATCTGTCTCTCCCCTCAGCTGCAACTATGGCAGCAAGAAAGACACGGATAGGTTATCTAGGATTTGTATTTTCTACATTAATGCTTCCTCCAATAACGAGGTTAATTGAGAGTTGACAGTAATTGCTTTATGCGGGCACAAAGCACTCAGTATGATTGTGTGACCCATGGACCTAATGCATCTACTGCCTGGCCCCTCTCTATCTCAAGGATGTATAAAAATAATGAAATGTTCCAATCAAAGATGATTGGAGGAAAGTTTGTTTCAGCATGACCTTGAGGAAATCAGGCAGGGTGGCTTAGTGAAGGTTGCCTGTGTCATCCTGCTCTGAGTAGATTCCCATAAATGCTAAGCCGGCCTGGTTAGTAACGCTAATGGCCGGAAACCACCTACGCTCCCAAAGCCTCGCCACTCACTTTGCAGGCATAACCCATGGGAGGCTCTTCTTACCACGTGCAGTTTATTTCTGAACCCTGTCACCCTTTTAAAAGAGCATTACAAACAATTCTATGACATTATGTGGTCTGGAAGCACTGAAGCTTATTAGGAGCAATCAAACTAAGAATGTCTTTTGTCTCCTATGAGTTTGTTGACTTTTCTGCTGGCAGATACTCTTCTAGTTAAGAAAATAGGCTAAGGTTTCAATCAAAAACAAAACAAAAAAAAAGATGAAGAAAGAGAGGAAGAGCAGCAAAAAAAGTATGATGAATATAAAATTGCCTCTCTTAAAGATCCTACATGTGTCTCCAATTGCAAATCCAAAGAAGCCCTTTCGATGACAAAGAACAGTTGTATGTTTTCCATTAATTCAAATCTATGAATCCCATTCAGTTGCAGCTGCTCAGTTTGCGTAATACACGGAATCCAATCTCATCACCTCCCCAGTACACCTTTGTCCCTGGTGCTATTTGGTTGCTCTAGACCAGATGCTGGCTGTTGCTAAACTAACCTTGATCCTCTCATGGTGAAGATGGGAGGATGCCC